CCTGGGCCGGCAGCCGCTTCGCTCGAGACTTCTCCTGCAATCTTCCCAGGGATTCTCCCTTGAGTGCCCCTTGCATTTTTCGAACAGCGCTTCGCTAGTGGGCTTTTTCTAGGAGAGGCGAAGAAAGGGCCATAGAAATGTCCCGCGCGGAAGCGGGGAGCCCGAAGCCGCCTGGACCGGCAGCTGTTTCCCAATCGGTGCTTGCACTGAAGGGGTTCTGGCGGAAGTTGACAGATTTGGCGAAAGCCTCCCGCCGATTTTGGCAGCAGGCTGGGTCCCCGGGTTCCCGGTATTCCGGGTTCCCGGGCTCCCGGTCCTTGGTTCCGCGCGCCGATTTCGGTGGCGGCTTCTGGGCTCCCGGGCTCCTGGGCTCCCGGTCGCTCTCCTCAGCGAAGGCCGCCCGCCGACTGGGGCCTTGCCCCTGGTGCCATTCCGTCTGTGACCCCTCACGGCGTGTTGAGGACTCGGGCCCTCGCCCTGTAGCCGTGCCGGCTGCCACACCGGGGGGGCGGCCGGGAGCCCGAGACCGCCCCGGGGGGGTCCGGCGGCCGCTCATAAGGCCCGAGTCTCTGGGCCACGGCCTGCTCCGGAGGCGCCCTCCCGCCTCGCTGCCGGGCAGCCACTGGTCCCGTGCATCGCGCAGGTCCCACAGGGGCTCGCGGCGCTCCACGGGCCGCGCGGGCCCCACGGGTGCCACGGGGCCCACAGGTCCCAGGGGTCTCACGGAGCACGCTGTCCCACGGGCCCCGCAGGTCCCACGGGTCCCGCGGGTCTGGCATGCCCCACCGGTCCCACAGGCCCTGCACGTGCCACAGATCCCACAGGTCTCACAGGGCCCACAGGTCCAGCAGGTCGTGCAGGTTGCACAGGTCCCCCGAGGCCGCACAGGCCCCTCGAGGTCTCGCAGGTCTCGCAAGTGCCATTGGTCCCACAGGTCCCACAGGTCCCACAGGTGTCGCAAATCCTGCATCTCCCACAGGTCCCACAGGCCACAGATGACAGGTCCAACAGGTCCCACAGGCCCAGCAGGTCCCACAGGTCGCACAAGTCCACAGTTCCGTCCTGCCCCACAGGTCCCACAGGTCTCGCTGGTTTCACTTTTCCCACAAGCCACGAAAGTCTCCTAGGTCCCACAGGTCCCTCAGGTCGACGGTCCCACAGATCCACAGGTCCCACAGGGCAGAGAGGCCCCCAAAGGTTCCACATGCCCTGCAGGTTCCACGGGTTCCACCGGCCCCAACGTACGTCCCAGGTCGCACAGGTCCCACGGGCTCAACAGGTCCCGCAGGTCGTACAGGGCGCACAGGTCCCGAAGGTCCCACAGGTTGTATAAGGCTCACAAGTCTCACAGGTTTCACAGGTCCCACAGGTCCCATAGGTTCTCACGTGCTCCAACCGCCACAGAACACACGGGCCCCACATGTCCCACAGGTCCCACAGGTCGCTCAAGTCCTGCAGTTCCCACTTGTCCCGCAGGCGCACAAGTCCCACGCGTCCCACAGGCCCCCCAGGCCCCACAGGCTCCACATGTCCCCAGGGTCCAACGGGTCCCACAGGTTCCAGGAGTTTCACAGGTCCCACATGTCCCACAAGTTCCACAGGTTACACAGGTCCTACAGGCACGACAGATTTTAAGGGCTCCACTTGTGCCACAGGTCGTGCAGGCCGCACAGGTCCCATGGTTTCCACAAGTCCCGTAGACCCGAGGCCCCCCGCAGGTCCTTCATGCCCCACAGGTCCCACAGGTCCCTCCTGCCCCGCAGGCCTCACAGGCCCCGCGGTCCCACGGGTGCTGCAGGTCCCACGGGCCCCACAGGCCCCGCAGGTCGTATAGGCCGCACAGGTCCCACGGGTGCCACAGGTCTCACAAGTCCCACAAGTTCCACAGATTCCACAGGTCCTACTCGCGGGTTCCACCGGTCCCACAGGTCTCACAGGTCCAAGAGGTCGCGCACCCCTCACAGATCACACGGGCCCCAAGTGTCCCACAGGTCCCACAGGTCGCACAAGTGCTGCAGTTCCCACTCGCCCCACAGGTCCCACAGGCCCCACAGGTCCCACAGATCCCGCGTGCCCCGCAGGTCCCACGGGCCCCACAGGCCGCACGGGTCCCGCTGCTACGAGGCATCTTTGCTGGGGTTAAATTGAGCCGCGTGGCCTTGCAGGGCCCGTCTCCGCCCTCCCCCAGAGGTCTCCAGGATCCAGAGGTACCCGGGGGTCTCTGGAGATCCCGAGCTCTCTGTAGGTCGACAACAGGGCCCAAGAAGGTCCAGCGATGGCTTCTTTCTCGTGGCCTCGGTGGGAGAAGCAGCGAGGCCACCACCAGCGGGTCACTTCCGGCGAGGATTTCCATGAGGCCTCCTCGCGTTGGAGATTGGATGTGTCTCGAGGGGGACGCTGCCAACCCGAGGACCATCCCTGGCTCCTTGCGATGGTTGTCGTGATGGGGCCGCTTCTCTTCCCATGCATCCTTCGCTGCGTTTCGTGAGAGGGCCCTAACAGTGGTGACAGAGGACCGCGGAAGAGTCCCACAGCGGGGACGGGGAAGCCCTGGACCGCCCAGCCCAGCAGCGGGTCCTGCAGCCGTCTCGCTCGAGACTTCCTCACAATGTATCAGGAATCGCGGGAGCGGGGCGAGAGGGGTCAATGGGGGAAATGTGCATGCCATGCGTGTGCGTGGCGGTGGCGCCCCAGAGTCAGATCTGCGGCGGGAGGTCGGGACAGATGGTGAGCATCCGTTGCCGTGCGCGTGCCCGCACCGCTTGTGCACTCACAAATGGATCAGGAGTCGGCATCTCGCCTCAGTGCCAGCCGCATGTTTGGTCTGGACGGCAACGATCCTTGCAACAAATCGGCTAAAGTGAAGTAAATGGTTGCGCTCTCACCCTGGTCCCAGCTGCATCTTTTCTTTCTCGGGGCTTCCCAGCCGTACACCTCCTAGTCCTCGACTCGCCACTGAATAGGTGCTGCTACCAGGTTGCTTTGCTGGGGTAAGTTTCAATCCGCGTGCCGAAGAGGCATCGACACTGTCGCAGTTTTGCATCCCGGATCAGTTTCTGATAGCCTGGGGCCCCGAGTTGACCCCCAGAGGCCGAAATTCATGAGCAACATGCCATATCGAGCAAAGACCATTCCGCCACACATCTGGTTTTGTCCTTCCTTGCAGATTCCTGGTCCGGTAAGGGCACAAAAAGTGGAACTCCCTCGTCGTCGATACCATGTTCGTCGCCCCCTCCCCCCCGACTCAAAGTTGGGCTCCGGCGTGGTGGAGGCCCCGGGGGTTCCACTTTGTTTGTTTTTTCAAGCCTGCGCTCTTAAACGTCTGGGAACAACTTTGAATGTGGGGGGAGGGGAGGGGGCAGAGTCAAGGGTTGAACTTTTCTGTCCATTTACGGTCCTCCTCTTCCTCCAGCGACGATAGCTTGTCCAGCGAACGTCGAATGTTCAGCATGCTTCGGTGAAGTGCTCGTGGGCCGTTCGCGGACCGGGCCCCCGGGCCGCGACCCCGCAGATGCGGTATTTTCCAACGCTCCTGCGTTGGCGATAAGCTTAATTGCTGCTTCCCTGCGAATTCTGCGTTCGATGCTGCCAGAGAATGGCTCCAAACTTGGCCTTTGCATTGTATTAAGTACTGTGCTACGCCCGTGAGCTATTTTTTCCTCGCGGTGCCTGTGCCCACGCGCCGGACGGCGTTTGGCTCTTCTGTCTGTCTGCGTTGGGCTCTCGTTCGGGAAACAGCACTGTAGTCGCGTCCTCCCAGTATCGTTTAACCGATCCCTATCCCCATCCTCATCCACATCTCGAGCCCCACCGTCTCACCACCTCAGTTGGGGATATGCCCCTCGAAACCCGAAGAGAGCAGTCTATATTCACATCCAGGGGGGAAGTCAGCCAGTGGGGCCCAGCCCATGCTGGTGGGGATGGGGATCGGTTTAACGATGCTCATCCTCCTTCTTCCCGCCTCCCTCCCGCCTCCCCCCTGGGGGGTTGCGATCGGCGAAGCAGTCGCCACTTTCGAGGGCTGCTGGGGGGGCCATCACAGTGTCGTTCCACCCAGAATCATAATCAGATTGGACCTCGCCATCTCTGGGGGGCTGCGATCGGCGAAACAGTCGCCACGGTCCAGGGGGGGCCTCTTGGGGGGCCTCTTGGGGGCCTCATGGGCCCCTCTGGGGCCGTTTTGGGGAGGAATGCTCCGATTGTTGGTTCAGGCTCCCCCTCTTAGGCCCCTCTTTGAGCCGCCTTGGGGCACTCCTGGGCCGTCTTGGGAGCCTCTTGGGCCGTCTTGCGTCCTCTTGGGCCGTTCCGAGCGCCTCTTGGGAGCCTCTTGGGCCGTTTTGGGGCGGTCTTGGGGGATTCTGGGGCCGTCTTCAACGCCGTGAAGGCCGAAAAGTCGTTTATGATAAACATGTGCGTTTCCCAATCGGAATTCGACGATTTTGGCTTCTGGGGCCCCTCTTGGGAGTGCTCTTGGAGGCTTCCTGGGCCGTCTGGGAAGCTTCTGGGGCCGTCTTGGGGCCATCCTGGGCGTCTTGGACCGACCTTTGGGCGTCTCGGGGGCCTCTTGGGCAGTCGTGGGGGCTGCTTGGAGCCCTCTGGGGCCTCGTGGGGCCTGATGACACCTTTGCCCCCCCCCCCCCCCCTCCCCGAACCGGCCGGACGGGGCTCCCAGGGGAGGGCTTTGGGGATGGAAGCGTCTCACACGTCGTGACCCTAAGGGGTCGGCGCATTTTCCCGATGTCGGTGTCCGTGGCATACCGCCTCCTCCTCCTCCTCCTCTTCCTCCTCCCCCTCCGCCTCCTCCGCTCCTCCTCCTCCTCCTCCTCCTCCTCCTCCTCCTCCTCCTCCTCCTCCTCCTCCTCCTCCTCCTCCTCCCCCTCCCCCTCCTCGGCCCCCTCCTCTTCCTCCTCCTCCTGCTCCTCCTCCTCCTCGGCCTCCTCCTCCTCCTCCTTCTCCTCCTCCTCCTCCTCCTCTGGGCTGCGCCGCCCTCCGCGCGCGAG